GTGTATTGTCTGTGATGCCAGGTGTGAAAGCATGATGTTGTCCAAGCGAGAACATACATTCCACCCTTTTCATCATCCCTAATTTGTATTATGGACCAACGGAGTGTTAGAGGTCTAATCTCTACCAGAAGTTGTGGAAGGAAGGAATGTTGTGGTAATCTGTGACCAAACACAAACATGTGACAATACCAACTTGTTTTTTCAAGGCAATTTGCTTGTAAGTATATCCTATGGTATATACTGCGTTTCCCCATGGCATCACAGTTCCTATATGATTTTCCTAGAAATCTATTGTGTGCTGTTCGTGTTTGAAAGAAGTTTGAAAGAAGAATCCTTACCTATGTGCTAGGACCGGAAAGAAGAAATCTGGGATTGAGCTTGTTGGTTAGATCAAACCTCCTTGGTTAGATTGATGCCACAGGTGCTTTTGTTGTTTTTTTTTAAATTAATTAAGCCATGTCATTCTCTCTCATTGTGTTCCTTTTACATGCCAAAATGTGAATTCTGTAGTAGACATTTCCATGATGTGCGCCGACTGGTCCAGTCTCTGCATTGATGTACACCAACGTTTACTACAAAGTCAATTGGCAACTACTGAAGCCTGTAGGTCAAGTGTGTATGTAATAGACAAATATCCAGGGCATTTTAGCAGTTGGCTTTTGATAGGGTATACTGTGAAGGTAAGAATGGTGGGTGATAAATGAAAAAGATATTTGAAAATATTGAATAATGGAGACCATCTCTCCAGAGAAATGGGCTTTTCAAAGGCCAAATACTATAAATTGTTATGTGTACTAGTAAAGACTATTGTGGAAAAAATGCTTAAAAAGTGTTTTAAGCATGTTTGAAGGAAGGTATATCAGATAGCAACTGATAAAATGCTTCTCGAATAAACATGACATCAAATGACTTAGTTGTATCTCATCTTTACATGTTTCAGGTTTTATGTGTCTTTTATTGCTTTTAGAGAAATTGTAAATCGTACTGCATTTCAACCAATGACAGCTGCTACCATATTTCAACATAGGCCCTGATTGGCTTGATATGGACTATTTTATCCTAGTGAGAACAAGGCCATTAACTGTCATCACTATTTGGCTTCAATATCTGCCCTACATATCTACACCTAAGGATGTTGACATATCAGAAGTAATTCAGTTGACCAGTTGTTACTGATGTATTTATTAACAGTCCCTATTCTAAGAGTATTAACAGTCCCTATCCTAAGAGTTTTGCCAAACTTAAGCCACTCATGCTACTGCGGATTAGTGTATGCATGATTACCCCAACAAGGCACTATTAATTCCTCCAGGATTATAATACAAATGTAATTCCATCATCCTAATACACACCTGCACACACACACACACACACATCCATTCAATGGATAAAATGACTCAGACTGTATCTTCAATGATTCTTTTATTGAAAAACATCCCTGAAACTTGGCCTTCATGACACTGTGCCAGGTGTATTCTTTAGTCAGCATTGACCCACATCATGTCCAGGTTGATACAAAGCCGAACCCTGGCGTTCACGTGACTGTCCCATGGACAACAGCTCCTGACTGCTGCCGAGTTTGGACAGTGCAGCAGAGCCCTTTCTGTAAACCACAGCCCATGGGGACAGCCAGTGTCTCCTGAGGAATGGGACAGATGGCTAAAGCTGTAAAGGTGAAAATAAATAAAAATACAAAGGCACATAAAACACTCAAGATATGCTTCCAGTTACGCCAAAAAAAAGTTACTCAAGCAACTGGATATGATTTTGGAAACGGTCAGACGTTTCAGTTAGCATCCACTACCTTTTGTCAATGAGACTTGCAGGAGAAAGGCAGTACGAACTATTGATTGGTATGCAAATAAAGAAGAGAAATTTCTTGGAAGCCCAACAGGAAAACCACAATAAAGAGCAAGTCTTTGAACCAGATCCAGTCACCAACAGTTACTACTCCCTAAAAGTCAGAAATAGACAGAATTGTGATAAGAACAGCATACCAACTTTGTCCCCTGGCCAGCACGAGCACTACAGTACAGGATCTGTCCTGGTGCAGTAGCAGTGGAACAGCCTCTTCCACCTGGAAAGACAGAACAAGTAGGCATGACTTTCAACTTCATTCATTGGAAGACAAATGAAATAACATTTACAAACACCACGTTTCAATATAAAACTGCTTTCTCATTATGTTATGTTTACAAGGTTCATTTAGTTTTGTTTACAATCTTAGCACGGTTCAAATTACAGATAACAAACACAGCTGTCAGGTAATCTTAAAAGAAGTTTATATTTACAGTAGTATGGAACAAGCTGTTCACTAAATTAAACTGT